TGCTGTTTTGAAGCCAGCCAGGCTGGAGCTGGGGGGCTCTAAAGCATCTTGCTGCAAAAGCTAAGCCGCGTGTGCATGCGTGAGCATGTGTGTGTTGTGGGTGGGCAGTTTTTAGCCCCGATCTCTTCCCCGTGGGTGTTACCTCTGACCACAGCCTTCTCCCCTCGCTGCAGCGCAGCTTGCAATTGCAGTGCTACTTCTCTCCAACTCTCAGCCTTTTTTAGGGTCCCCCCCACCCCGCCCTGTTAAAAGGGTGAGAAGCCCAGTGGCTTGGGTGGGTAGAGAGAAGCCCAGATCTCACCCCCAAAAGGCATCGAGGGCTTCACTTGTACCGAAGCACAAGCATCTGATGCTTCTTGCGGCACAAAACAGGGGAGAGCTGGGTGGCTGGTGGGCACAAGAGGAGTCAAGGGGCAGAGCTGGGCTTCTAACCCTGATCTGCTGACTCCGAGGATGGGCATCCCTTTGCCAGGACTAGAGTCAGGGAACCCCTGAACAGAGGGGAGACAAAAGCATCTCCTTTTCTGCTGCTCCAAGCACCAGCCTTGCAATTGGGCTGCTGCTTGGTGACTTAATTGAGGTGGGGGCAGAAAAGCAGAGGGAACATGCAGCTCAGGTCCAGCTTCCAGGAAAGGGGGCATGGGCTGGGTCCAGCCAGGGCTTGCCCAGATTTCATACCAGACAGGCATGCCATGAGGCTGGCAGCAGGGTGGAGGGTGTTGATCTGTTTGCTGTGGAAAGCTAGTTGGAGAAAGCCCATCCCTGCCCGGAAAGCTCCAAGTGTGCCATGCCCAACCCCTGCCAACTGCAGTTAAAAAGCACAAGGGCCATCTCCCAGTGCCCTCAGGACCCTCAGCAGAGATCTGGGCTGGGCTTTCTTTCTAGTGACCGGTCCCAGTCTGAACCCACCCAAACTGCACTGATGCAGTATGGATGCAAGTGGGGGCAGCATCCGGCCGAGACAGGAGCTCCTTAGCCCTGCATCTCCCTGTCCCTGAGCTTCATTAAGGAGAAGCAATCAGCCCCGGGGAACCTGGAGCCAGGCTCTGATCTCAGGTCTGTGGATGGAGAGGTGGATCAGCTGTTCTCCACGGGATGCAGCTGCTGCCTGTTCCAGCTGGGGTGCATCTAGAGAGGGTTTGAAGCACACTGATGTCCCCAGAGAAGCCCCCCAAGATGTTCACCCCTAGTGAGCACCCTCCCAACCCACTGCTGCCCACTGCCAATTAATACCCCGTTCCCTTTAATACTCATGCATTCTCCTGTAAGACGCTAGAGAGATTCACTCTGCGCTGCGGCAGCACCATTGCACTGGAAAAGAGGGGAGGGGAGATTTCCATGGGGGGCTCCCAGCAAGTACCAGGGGAAGGTGGTGGCTTCCAAGAGCTGAGTGTGAGGTCTTACCCCCTCGATCTGGCGTGACAAATCCACAGCTGTTGGAAAAGCACAAATCAGGCAAACGAAGAGCTGGGCCCAGTCGCTGGGCTCCAGCTAGGAGGTTGCCCACATACGGGAGGGCTGGGGTTGCTAGGAGGTTGCCCACATACAGGGGTAACCATGCCTCCAGCTAAGACAGGGGTGGGCAAAATGCGGCCCAGGGGCCAGATGCAGCCCCCCCAGGCCATTCTATCCGGCCCGCGGGGTCCCTAAAAAATTTAGAAAATTAATATTTATCTGCCCTGGGCTGCCTGTCGTGCGGCCCTCGATGGCTTGCCAAAACTCAGTAAGCGGCCCTCCGCCCAAAATAATTGCCCACCCCTGAGCTGGGAGGTTGCCCACATATGGGAGGGTTGCCCCACAGCCATCCTGCAGCCTCTCCAGCCCTCCGTGGGGCAGGAGGACAAGCCCCTCAGGGTCTAGTCACAAGCACAGCTCCAGGGAAAGGTGTCTAAATCCCCTGGGATGCAGCTTGGGTCACCTTGCCTGGGACAGTGAGGGGTTCCCCAGCTGATGTCAAGCACAGCAATGCCAGCCACCCCTCTCTGACAGAGGCTGGCCAAATCCAGGACCAAGCCAACCCTGTGGCCCCAGGACAGGCTACTCCCCTCCACGCCATGGCTTGGGGATGCCGTGGCTGGAGCCTGGGGTGTGGTGTTGGGAACAGCTCACGAGCCGAGTCCAGTTCTGCCTGACCCAGAGATCTCACCCTCTCCGCACAGCAAGGGAGAGCATCTCTGTTGTAATACTGCCCGTCCTCGGGGCATCTGGGCTCAGGACCCTGGGGGACATGACCTGCACAGAAAGCACAATGTTGCAGGGGCGGCAGCAACAGATCTTGGGCCTGGAGCCCCCCAGCCTCTCAACTGCACACACTCCCCCTGGAAAGCCCTAGTGGAGAAGAGACCCAGGGACTTGCCCCACTGGCCCAGACCCCCTTGCACTGCGATCAGTGCTGGTTTGATCTCACCCCCCAAATACAGGACTCCCCCCCTGCCAACATCAGCTTTATATCTTGGGGGTCTCCCTCTAACCCCCCGTTGCAAACAGATCCATCCGTCATGCCCAGAGCTGTTCAACCAAGTGACTCTCAGTCCAAAGCAATCAAAACCGTGCGTCCTACATCCTGTTCTTTTCTCGGTCCCTGTCCCCTTTCTCTCATTCTTCGGTGTAGCTGGTCTTTTTAAGAGAACATCCGTAGTACGTCTGTATGCAAAAAAGGAAAAAAAAACCCCAACAACAAAAAAACCCCCCAAACTGTGCTGTGGTGTAGTTTTTAGATGTTTGTAAAGAACAACCGACCAATCAACAAGAAAAAAAGTAAAAAAAAAAAAAAAAAAAAAAAGCAAACTACTAATTCAGCTGTGGTCTTTGATTTGTCCATTTTGTATAAAACTGAGTGATTCGATACGACAGTTATTTTAAATGTCATGCTAGGGAAAAACAAAAATTGCCTACAAAAAAAGGTATATATATATATATATGTATAAATATATATATATAAGGTGCTGTGAATAAGAAGAAGAAACAAGGGTTGTGTGTGAGGTCTGTTTGGCCGGAGATTGGAATTTGTGCAGCCTGACAGGGCTGCGGCCATTCCCGGCGCTCCACAAACTGCTATTCAACAACCACAAAAAAAATCAATGTAAAAATAATAATAATAAAAAAGATTAAAAGGAACCTGAGCCACTTTGAGAGTCTGTGAGTGATTGGTTTGGACTGCATCGGGAAGAGGAAACGCTGTAGTTTCTCACATACATTTTCCCCCCCAAAGCCCAGCAGCTGGAAGCGATGAGGTGTATTATATACAAGAAATATGGTAAGAGCAGTTTCTGCTGGTTATTGGGCAAGAGTGGAAGTAAAAATCTGCTCGCCAATGATTAAAAACTACCTTGCTGCTGCTACCCAGCTACTTATAACAAGGCAGGAGCTTTTCCTCTTCATGCTGACTTTCAAAAACAAGGCACGCATCGTATTCCCGGGCGTGTTGTATGTCAGAAATGACGGCAGTGCTTGACAGAAGACTGGCACGTTCTGCATGACTTTCTCTATTTACAGGGGAAAAAACGTGGTGGGAAAAATGGGCAGAGCTGGGCGTGAAGAAGCGGGCGGCAGAACATACATGCAATAGATATGTTTGTATCAGCAGGGCAGAGAGCTGGGCCCACTGCTCAGAGATGCAAGTACTCAAGAGGAGACTGGAGACATCTCGTTGGGATCACTTGATCTCAGCAATATACCTGCTCAGGGCAGGGGGGTTGGACTCGATCTTTCAGGGTTCCTTCCAGCCCTTAATTTCTATGATTTTGCTTTTTCCAGAGGAGGTAGGAAAGCAGAGATGCCAGAGACAGACACAGGGCAAGATCAGAGTTGCATTGAAGCAGCCCCACAAAGTCTGGGGGGGAGAAGAGCCAAAACGTTGCAGGGGTTAGAAATATTCCTGGGTGTGGATGGCACCTCCCAGCATCACAGGGTGGACGTGATGAGACACGTGCACACACGAAAGACACATATACATGCACGTGACTGACCAGCCTCTCTCCCGAGTCCTGCTGGTCTGAGCTGAACACATTAAAATTTTTTTTAAAAAGGCAGGAGGGGAGGGGGGAAAACAGTGGATAATGAAAACGAACATGACTTTTTCCTGCTTTGCAAAGGGCAAGGGGGTAATAATTCAGGCCCCCTCTCATGCAGCACATCTAGCTCTAGAGTTGGGAGTAGAAAACAGAAAGGACTTTCTGCCTTGTAGATAAGGAAGATGGAAGTGGACTCTTTCCTGCAGGGTCTGGGCAGGGACGGGAGAGGGAGCCGGAGCTCCTTCTGGCCCATGGATCCTAAGGGGAGGATGGGACAGGCCTGAGCTGAAATCCCCATCACCACGGGGAAATATGCAGAACCCTTGGCAAAGGTGGTATCTTTTATTAGACCGACTAAATAGCTACAAAAAATGTCTTTACTTGCAAGCTTTTGGGCTTGCTCGCTTTTCCTCAGGCAAAGGAGAATGCACAGATTGTAACATTTCTCCCAGGTAGAAATGAAACTTCATATTGCACAGAATAAAAAGATGTTATAGGGTCCCCAGGGTGGAAAAGTTCATTTGATGCAAATAAGGCTCACATCACCAGGGGGTGCATGCAGCTGAGACCGTGCCCTGCTGCGTAAGAGGGGAGAGAAAGGAGAAGCCAGCAAAATGCAAGGTAAGGTCCATCTCTCCCAACCATCAAACCCAAAGCCAGAGACAATGACGGATATGTTCCCCATGGTTTGATGGAGCACAGGCTTTATTCACGGTGCAAAGACCCTCCCTCCCCCATTTCAACACGTGGCGCTGACAGCTGGAAGGACATCGCGGCACTTGGTCCCTACTACGACCCAGCTCTGCCGGGATGCTCGACACAGCAAGGGGGGACGCAGGCGCAAACCCTCCATGAAAAACCCGTGCGGATGCTCCGGCAGCTAGGTCAGCTGCTACCAGGAACAAGGTTGTCACCGTCCCTGCTGCCTATGCCCCAAGGGCAGTGACGCAGCCAGGGCTGTGGGCACAGAATAAACATCACGCCTTATAGGAGTGCAATGCCTATAATCCAGTTACCAACCCGCCAGTTCCCCACTGATGCTGCCCCCTCAGGCTATCCCTGGCTTCCCAGCTTCTCAGCCATGTGCGGGTCGTGCTTGGAGCCACCGAGGCAGGCAGGGCTGCGGCTCACGCTGGCGTTCTGGTCCCACTGCTCCGGGGTCTTGGCATGGATGGAGAGGGCATGGACGGGGCCAGCCAGCTCAGCTTGCAGGATCTCGTTCACTAGCCGGTGGCGCTGCAGCAGGGGCAGGCCGGCGAAGCGGGAGCTGGCGATCACCACCTTGAAGTGAGTCTCGGCGCCAGGGGGCACAGCGTGCTGATGGCTCTCATTATGCACCTCCAGCTGGCTTGGCTCCAGCTCCCGCTGCAGCTTGGAGCGGATGGACACCTCCACTGGCTTCTCCCCAGCCATGGGGGTGGAAGAGGCCAGGCGGGGGAGCAGCCGCAGAGGGGTACGAAGCAGGGGGAGCAGCCGGGCCGGAAGCATCCGAAAGGGGCGAGCGCCGGGGGCTGCAACAGAGAACAGAGAGGCGTCAGGGCCGTGTCTAGGATGGGATGCAACCAGAGGTCAGATCTAGCCCAAACCCCCCAATGCAACCCTTCCCAGACACCTCCTTCTCTGACCTAGCCCTAGCATCACACCATCAACCTCGCTGCACAACTACAAGGCACGTTGGCACCAAGAGCCCATGAATCTGCCCCAGGTGATGCCAGGGCACAGGGGCTGGCAGGGTCCTGCCACTGCCAGGGGTGTTAAATGCAAACTAAAGCAGAGGCTACAGAGAAAGGCAAACCCCCTCCCCCAGTCTATGCCAGTTTGCCCAGGGGGTAAAATCCCTCCCTGCCCCCAACGCAGTAGCAGGCTGACCCTGCGCAGAGGGGCAAGACCCCCCAGGGTTACTGGCTTGGCCGAGCCACAACCCCCAGCCTGGGCTGCAGCTGGGGGGCAACTCTGGCACTGGCAAGGCCTTTCTCCCGACCCTCACCCATGCATGTCTCCGGGCAGTTTCACCGGGTGGCATCCAGAGGCTCCTTGGAGGGGCCACGGGCACCAGCCGGGGCTCTCTGCTCCCCTGAAACCTTCTGGAAGCTGCGACCATCGCTCCCGCCCCTGTTTTATGTGCCCGGCACTTCAAGGAGGACATGGACAAACTGGAGAGGGTCCCGCGCGGGGAAACAAAAAGGATCAGAGGCGTGGGAGGAAGGGACTGACGAAAACGGGCTGGAAGAGCCAGGGTGACTGAGTCTGGAGACGCGGAGATTGAGGGGGGATTGGATACCAGCCTTCAAGTGCCTGAAGTGTGGCAATACCGGGGAGGACGGAGATGGGCTTTTCTGATGACCGGGAGCCTCGGCCTGCGGTCGTCCCGCGTGACCCACAGGCCTGGGCCGCAGCCAGCACCCAGCCACGCTGAGGACGGTGGAAACACCCCCGACCCCTGTAGCAACTTGGGGGGGAGGGGAAGGATGTCCTTCCTGACCCTACGCAGCAGCCTGCAAAGCCCAGACCCGTGGGAACCAGCCCCCTCCGCCCTGCCCTGCCCTGCCCTGCAGCCTGGGGGCTGGAGCAGGACCCGCCAGCACCCCTGCCAGGGTGTGGGGGCACAAGACGGGTGCTGGTGCATGCAGGGCAGGGTGGGGGTGCAACCCGCCTTACCTGGGCTCCAGGCAGCAGCTCCTGCAACCCTGGCTCCTCCTGGGCACTGCCCTGCTCTACGCAGGCGCGTCCCTGCCCGCTGTCTGCCGCGCTGTGCATTCTGGGAAATGTAGTCCCTTCTTGCACGTTGGGAGCCGGAGGGGACGAGGAACTACAACTCCCAGGAGGCCTTGCACCCTTCAGCCAGGCGTCCCCTGCGGGGCTGTGCCCGGTGCCTGCTGGGAGTTGTAGTTTTCAGCCCCCCCTAGCGGCTGGGAGCATGGGAGCAGGCGGCCAGCTCTCCTTTGTCCACTAGGGGGAGCCACACGCCACCAGTTTGACTCCATCATCCCAATCGTAGTCCGGGACTGGGAGCCGGCTCTGCACCCCCTGCCCCTGCAGCCCGGGTTTGGGCTGCAGAACTCCTGGGTTCTCTGCCACCGATTTGCTGGGTGCCCCTGGGCACATCCCTCCACCCCAGGCGGGGATGGGGCCGTGCAGCCAGGTGTCAGCGGCCTGGCAGGCACTGGAGGCTGGGGGTGCGGGGGGACTGGGGCAGGTCACACTCAGCTCCCTGCTCCCAAGAGCCCCCGATCGAGGGTCCCATCCCTGCCCGGGCAGGGAGCCCAGGCCCCGCGGTACTTGGACGATGTGAGGCTGAGGACCAGGATGGCGGCTCCCAGGCACATAATCATGAGCCAGACAGGGCTGGGGCAGCTGTCATCTCCCACCTCCACCCAGGGGAGGTGCAACCTGGTCCGGATCCAGGACCAGAGCCGAGTCCACCCTATGGGCCCCGTGCCCCCCTTTATGACCGGTCACGAGTTCGTCAGGCCTCGCCTGCCTGCCAGTGGATGCCAGCAGGGCCATGGGGGTGGGATGGGGGTGCTTCAGGGGCAACAGGGGAACAAGCTGCTTTCTCTAGGGGTGTCTGGTGGCTCTGACATCGGGCCGGGGGGGTATGTCCCCAGCTCAGCCAAGCCAAGTGGGCACTGGGTGGGCGCTGGCATGGAGCAATGAGGCAGCAGAGCCAGGTTGGTGGGGACCGGGTGTTTGCTACCCTTAAAATGGGTGTCGCCGTATGGCGCATCCTATGGCAATGCAGGTGACATCACTGTGCTGCTGTATCCCATGGCAATACCGGTGTTGTGGCCACGTGGGCATACCCCATGGCAACGCCACTGTATCCCATGGCAACACCAACACCGTTGCCGTGCTGGCATCACCCATGGCAACATTGGCATAGCCACGCTGTCATATCCTGTGGCAACAAGCACCGTTGCCATCCTGGCATATTGCAGGGTTCAGGCCGGGGGGTTCGTACAGCGCCTTGCACCATGGGAGCCCACTGCAGAGCTCAGGTTCACAGCCACATCAGGTCCATCCAGTCCAGCTGCCTGCTCCTGCAGCCTGGCCCTGTCTGAACCCACCTGTCCAACCTGGATGGAGACCCCTCCAACTTCCCTTGGGTCCAGGACCAAGACAATCTCCCTGCAAGCGGTCTCTTCCCGTTGCCCAGCCTCTACATGGAGCATGCTGGAGAGCAATGGCTTTCCCCAACCCTGCGCCTCGACCTCCCAGGGCTGGAAAGCCCATTAGCTCGTCCCGTGTGGGAGCAGCAGGTGGGCCTCGCCCCAGGGATGCCGTGGATGCTGAGAGGCCTGGGAATGTCTGGCATGGAGCAGGGAGCTGCTCTCTGATCCCAGGTCCCAGGGGCAGCCTGGAATGTGACTTGCCTCCAAACCTGGTCTTTCCCAGGGGATGTAGAGCCTTCCTGGGGGGAGCTAGATGTACTGGGCTCCCCTGATGCAGCTGTGGGGGGATGGAAGGAGGGATGGGTGGATGGATGGATGCACCGAATCTTTGTTGGATGGAAGAAAGGAAGGAAGGAAGGAAGGAAGCTCAGTTGCATGCATGCATGGATACATGTATGGATGGATAGTTGGATGGAAACTCTGTTGCATGGATGGATGGATGCATAGATAGGTGAGCCACTGGAAAGGGGGCTACCAGGCCCCTGAGCCACCATGGTCTGAGCTGCCAGGGGAGGCCCTAGGGGCCAGATGGGTGCAATGGGAAGGGCATGGGGGCACCCAGGTCTGGATGGAGTAGGTGCCCAGCTGGGAAGGAGCAGAGAAGCTGGCTGTGCTGGGCCTGGTGTCTGCCAGCAGCCTTGGTGGAGGAGAAGCTGGCATGGAGAAGCTGGTCTGACATCATGGGCAGTGTGACACAGGCCCCTGGTGTCCTGGCTCCCCAGCCCCTGCTTGAACGATCGCATCCTGCACCAGTTCTCGTCCAGCAGGTCTGACCATGCTCCTTTACATAGCCAAGGACTTAACCCAGGAGTCCTGACCTTCACCATACAAGGGAAGCACACATCCAGACTATGGCTGTTCCCTTTTAGGCTTCCCAGACACACACACGCACACCCCCATGTGCCCACATGCACACACACAGGCACACCTTAACATGCACCTGCACATGCATGCACCCAGCTATGCACACGTGCACATGTACACACACCTGTGTGCACCCATATGCTTACACACATACACACCTGAATACTGATGCAGGCGAGCTCACTTGCCCACGAGCACGTGCATACATGCCTGTATACACACATACACTCCTGCACACATATAGGAACACACCCACGTGTGTCTTTGCACATGCACACAAGTGCACCCACTTCCCCCACGCCCCAGCTCTTAAAGGGGCCAAGCTGCAGGCCTATTTTAAGGAAAACCTGACCACTAGCTGACCCCTTCTTTAACCCCCCCCACCCCCCCGCCAGCTAAGGGGGCGAACAGCTCGGGGTCGGGGGGTCAGGCGGCTGCTAAAACCGTCCTCTGAAATCATCGCGCCTGCCAGAAAGTATCAAAGCGACAGGGGCCGGGTGACCCTGGGAGCAGAGGGTGGGGGGCAGCCCAGGGCTGCTGAATAGCTGCAGTGTTTGCTCTGGTGAGGGGTGGGGGGGCATGGGTCACGCGGGGTTAATATCGTGTTGCCATATGTGCTACAAATGTTCATTAAGTGCTTAACCAACTGGAGGCCACGCAGCCCTCCCCGCCTGGGGATCATGGCAGGCGCTTCGTTACCACCTCAAATTAGGCGTCTGATCCTCCGGGGAATAGGTAATGCGAGCTGACAACAGCCCCTGCGACCCCCCTTCCCCGCTGGAGAGCAGGGGGCGAATGTCAGGCCTGGGACAGGAACTACCCCCCTTAACAAGCCACCATGGGGGGCAGGGACGTTCGCCCTGGATCTGCCCCCTCCCCTCTCACCCCTGGGGCAATTGTCATCCAGAAAGGCGGTGGAGGGGCTGGGACTATGGGTCTCATCTGTAGCCCAAACATTTTTGAGAGAGGGGTCTGGGGTGCCTGATAGAGTCAGCCTGGCCACGCGGCTGGGAGCCCCCAGATCCTGTAGGGCCTGGGGTCGATCAGGGGCTGTGGGTGGCCAGGAAATGAAAGCCCAGCAGGGCACCAGGCACCCCTGAGCAAGCCCCTGCTGCCCTAGTGCCGCGTGGGACCTGATTCCTCATTCATGGCTGTGGCTGTAAATTGAAGTAGTGCCTGGCAGCCTTGGGTGCTCGGTGCTGTACAAACCCAGAGCAACAATCCCCATCCCAGAGGGTGTCCGTGGGGCAGGAAGGATGCCAGAGGGGTGGGGGGAAGCCAGGTAGGGCTTGGAGTATACTGCTACGGGTCTCCCCCACCCCAGCATGCAGCCCCCGCACTAGGGGCTGCAGATCTGAGCTGCAGGCCCTGCCAGGGGCGATTAGGGTCCTCCTGAGTGCACACGCCAGCCGCAATTAGCCTGGCCGGGAGATGATGGGCCAGGTGGCTGCAAGCCCCGCTCGGGGTGGGGAGCATCCAGCCGATGCCTGACTGGGATGAGTGATAATGAGTCAGGTGTGAGTTCACGTGCATGTATGTCTTTGCACTTGTGTGCTCCCCTGAGTGTGCACATGCACACACAGAAGGGCATGTCCTCATTTGCACACGTTTTCTCTACCCCCTCGCCCCCCCTGCAACAAGGAACCCACTTGCTCTCTCCTGCGCATAAGCCCCACTGTTGCCCTGCAGCCCCCATGGCTGCTTTTCCAACCCATGAACACAGTGGGCACTGCTAGAGGGTTCACCCCCGTGTTAAAAGCAGGCTCCAGCAACAGAGGCAGAGACCAGCAGCCTGTCTGCGCAGCGGGACGAAGGCAGGATGAAATCCTAGAGAAGCCAGGACAGCAGAGCTTTGCAGAGCTCACATCTGGTCCCGTCCCCCCCACTCAGCACAGGACCAGACCAGAAGGGGGTCTGTCCACCTTGTCCTTCTTTAAATGCATTCAGGCAGAGGCCCACATCCCCTGCTGCAGAGTACACCAAAGCCCCACCTAGATCCAACCGGGTGGGGGCAGGGGTCAGATTGCTTCCTGATCCCCAATACAGTGATTGGGCTGACTCTGAGCAGGGGGTAAAACCCTGTAGCAAGGACCCTCTAAATCTGCTAAGTCCCAGCAGGAGCATTGGTACAGCCTGGTCACTCCCTAGCCTGGGGCAGAACCCCCTCACCTCATGCAGCATGGGCTAGCAACCCAGTACAACCATCCCGAGGGAAACTGAGGCACACTCAGGGTGGCGAGCAGGTGCTATGGCAAGCTGCAAACCCTCTATCCCTGTGCCGGCCAAACCCAGGCTTGGAAACCCCACGGCCTGGCTTCCAAGCAAGCAGATTTCCCCTGGAGATCACGCTGCCCCTCCACGGAGATCTCTGCAGAGATCAAGCTTGGCTCCAGGGCACTGCCTGGATCTGCGAGGCAGGAGGATGGGGCTGCATGACATTGCCATCAGGTGTGGGAGGGAAAAGATCTGCAGCGAGGCAAAGGGCTGTGGAGGTGGGGGGGCTCTGCTGTCCTAGGAATGCAGGTCAGAGGAATGCTCTGGGCCTGGCCAAGCATGTCAGCAAAGGGCACCGGGGGCTCTGACCTCTGGGGAGGGGCTGGAGGAGAGAGGAGGGGGGAACAAGGCAGGCCCTTGTTCCAGGAGAAGTCTCCTGCGGGGGGCACAGATCATGTGCTGGGCGGGGGGGCAGCACAGCTGAAAAGGATGGG